GCCCCTGCTCTAGTATATCCTTTTGTCATTTGCATATGATTAGCCTAACACTCTCAGTAGACTATAAACTAACTGTAGTTGGGAATTCATTTATACCAGGCACCCGGGCTAGTCTAAGGACAGGGACTCAGACTGTCACTTACTTTTCATGGTTTGGAAGGAAAATTCTGTTTCTGTCTTGAAAATGAGACAAGAAACTGTCGCACAGCTAAGAAGTAAAGTTAGGTCTAAATACAGAAAGAGGCTGATCTTCATTCCTGCAACTGTGAGACCATGTTGTATTTCTTTCAAACTGATTGAATTAATAATCGTGCAAATTAAGAGCTGTGTGATTTCGTCGTGCTGTATATTTTGGAGTATTTTTCGTTTACTACAGAGTAGCTCACTTGTTCAGCCATTATCTATGTGGCTTCTACTGATTCTACAGGCAGGCCTGTGGCAGCATTATTTCAGTAATGTTACAATGGATGGGACGAGAAAACCACTGGTATACTTCATAACATAAGTCTCATTATTGTTTACTTAGGTTTAAGAGAATGTTGTCATTTTTTTTATAAATGAGCTTGTGTTCATTTATTTCAAAATGATAGTTTATAATTTCCAAATGTCAGCCGGTGGTGGCTCACGCCTGTCATCCTAGCACTCTGGGAGGCTGAGGCGGCGGATTGCTCAAGGTCAGGAGTCGAAACAAGCCTGAGCAAGAGCGAAGACCTGTCTCTACTATAAAGAGAAAGAAATTAATTGGCCAACTAATATATATAAAAAATAGCCGGCATGGTGGTGCATGCTGTAGTCCAGCTACTCGGGAGGCTGAGCAGGAGGATGCTTGAGCCCAGGAGTTGAGGTTGCTGTGAGCTAGGCTGACACCACGCACTCACTCTAGCCTGGCAACAAACGAGACTCTGTCTCAAAAAAAAAAAATTTCCAAATGTCTTCTGAACTGTAGCTCAGTGGTGAAGTGAAGCTTTATTGATACTTAAAGCCAAAATGAGGCTGCTCAAGGTCAGGAGTTCGAGACCAGCCTGAGAAGAGTGAGACCCCCATCTCTACTAAAATTAGAAAGAATTAGCTGGACAACATATATATATATGGATATATAAAAAATTACCGGGCATGATGGCGCATGCCTGTATCCCAGCTACTCGGAGGGCTGAGGCAGGAGGATCGCTTGAGCCAGGAGTGTGAGGTTGCTGAGCGAGGCTGACGCCACGGCACTCACTCTAGCCGGGGCTCAAAAAATAAATAAATAATAAATAAAGCCAAAATGAGTTTATTCTAGTCTTATTCCCTGAAAAGACCTTACATCACAAGTAGTCAGCTCATTTGTGCCAGGAGGCTGCCCTAGTGGTTCCGGGTCAGCACCCTCCTGGCTGGGCTGAGCTGTTCCTGCTTTGGGGCAGACTCGCAGGCCAGGGGACAGCTATTCTGAATCATCTCTCTCGCTTATGTTCAGAATTCACTGCGTTGTGGTATAATGAAAGAATGACATTTCCAAGAAGAGAGAATTTATAATAATAATAATATAAAGTTTTACTTGTATAGCATTAGAATATATATAGAGAAGATATTTTATCAAAGGACATATTTCTAAGTAAACATCTAGATCTATCACTTAAGAGGAAGAAGTGGGGAAAAAAAACTCCTTTTTTTTTGTTGTTGTTGTTGCCCGGGCTAGAGTGCCATGGCGCCAGCCTAGTTCACAGCTTCAGCCTCTTGGGCTCAAGCGATCCTCCTGCCTCAGCCTCCCAAGTAGGTGGGACTACAGGCATGCGCCACCACGCCCGGCTAATTTTTGTTCCGTGTATTTTTAGTTGGCCAATTAATTTCTTTCTATTTTTTAGTAGAGACAGGGTCTCACTCTTGCTCAGGCTGGTCTCGAACTCCTGACCTCGAGCGATCCTCCGCCTCGGCCCCAGCTGCTAGGATCACAGGCATGAGCCGCCATACGCCGGCCAAAGGACATATTTCTAAGTAAACAGAAAGATCCTGTCACTTAAGAGGAAGAAGGGGGGAAAAAACCTCCTCGATGTTTCTATATGACAATGGGTGATATATTTTTAAAAATCCTAAACCTGGGACCATTAAAAAAAAAACACGATTTTATAATATCGTTTCAGAAACTTTACAGATTAGCCTGTGTAAAGGAAGACTACGTAATAAAACAGACAGATGGCAATAATTACTATGTTATAAAATTCTTTCTTTTTTTTTTTTTTAATGTTTTTGAAGTCCGCTAAAAACATGATTGTTCTGCAGGATTCAAGTTCAGTGTTAAAGGAGGGACATGCTACAGGCTTTGAAGACGAAGGCTCACATGTGATTCAGGAGCAGCAGGATTCCCTCGTGTGTCAAGGGATTCTTGATTTAGAAGAAGCTGAAATGCCAGAGCCTCTGGCTCCTGAGAGCTACCCGAGTCGGTCTGTGACGACGACGTCACCTTGGCCTTGAAAGAGCTGGACGAGAGATGTGAGGAGGAAGAGGCGGACTTCTCCGGACTGTCTAGGTGAGAGAGTAGGGCAGTGCAGGGCCGTGTCTCCCCCGTGCCTCTGTCCTCCACCTTACTTTCTTGTGTGCGTTTCAGTCTGTCAATTTCCATGTCATTTATTTTTTTTATTCTTTTTCAATCTTAATGTTATTTAAATTTTATTTCATTTCTTTTTTTTTTTTCCTTTTCTTCTGCACATATCCTTGGTATAATCTTCCTTTTAAAGATAAACATGATGGTTTCTTTTTTTCTGTTGTTGACATCCAATTAAAGAAAAACAACCAGGCCATTCTCAAAGTATCTAAGTGGCATTCCGTGTTAGAAGCACAGCAGATACCCGTGTTGGCAAACGCCACATAGCAGGTATCTGTGGATGCCAGAATAGATCTGAAATAGATCGAAAATGTTTAACACAGGCGTGAGCCACCGCGCCCGGCTGACATTTGGAAATTATAAACTATCACATTTTTGAAAATTAAATGAATCACAAGCTCATTTATATAAAAAAAAATGACAACATTCTCTTAAAGCTAAGTAAACAATAATGAAGACTTATGTTATAAAGTATACCAGTGGTTTTCCTCGTCCCGTCCATTGTAACATTACTGAAATAATGCTGCCACAGGCCTGGCCTGTAGAATCAGGAGAAGCCACATAGATAACGGCTGAACAAGTGAGCTACCTCTGTAGTAAACGAAAAATACTTCCAAAATATACAGCACGACGAAATCCACACCAGCTCTTAATTTGCACGATTATTAATTCAATCAGTTTGAAAAGAAATACAAATGGTCTCACAGTTGCAGGAATGAAGATCAGCCTCTTTCTGTATTTAGACCTAACTTTACTTCTTAGCTGTACGACAGTTTCTTGTCTCATTTTCAAGGACAGAAACAGAATTTTCCTTCCAAACTATGAAAAGTAAGTGACAGTCTGAGTCCCTGTCCTTAGACTAGCCTGGGTGCCCTGGCATAAATGAATTCCCAACTACAATTAGTTTATAGTCTACTGAGAGTGTTAGGCTAATCATATGCAAATGACAAAAGGATATACTAGAGCAGGGGTCCCCAAACTTTTTAAACAGGGGGCCAGGTCACTGTCCCTCAGACCGCAGGAGAGAGTGCGCACTGTGGGCCCGGGACGAGTCGGCTGCTAAGCAGGACAGGCAGCGGTGGCAAAAACACCCAGCGGGCCGGATAACTGTCCTCGGCGGGCCACATATGGCCCACGGGCCGTAGTTTGAGGACGCCTGTATAGAGCCTGGTAAATGCCATCAGACCATGTCCTCCTCCTGCTTAAAATCCTGGTTTTAATGGCTACCTGCTACACGGCCTGTAAGGTACATCATGAGTGCGCCTTGGCCCACCGCCCGACTCCTTGCTCATGGCTCAACAGCCCCGCTGGTCAGCTTTTTACACTTCAGACACACCAGGGCCTTTTTTGTTTTATTTTTGGAGACAGAGTCTCACTCTGTTGCCCAGGCTAGAGTGAGTGCCGTGGCGTCAGCCTAGCTCACAGCAACCTCCAACTCCTGGGCTCAAGCCATCCTCCTGCCTCAGCCTCCCCGATAAGGAAGCCAAGATGTCCTCATTTCAAAATATGTGTGCTAAAGAGGGTTCGTCTCAAAACGTGTCCGCTTACTGCCAAAGAGGATTCCCATCTGCAAACCAATCAGCCTGCTGAGAACACGAGAATTCACCTTCCTACAATAAGATCTGATAGATGAATCTAGATCTAATAACTACATTAATTTTGGTGACAGTGACAAAAGAGTATTTCCCTAATATTGACCAAGGCATAAAAAGAACACATATGACAGAGCTATAGCAATTCCATATAAAAGGAGCATCCATCGTAATCTTTACAAAAATAATAAAAAAAAAAACACTACTAAGAAAACTAATACTTACTTATTTTTGGGTTATTAGCTTGAAATCTGGCTTTTTTCGCACAGGCCTTCCCCAAAAACACAACACTAGCGGTTCCAACGTCTTGCTCAAAGGTGCCGCCTAACAGCTGCTAACACAGCTGGCCTGAGGTGTCCACCCCCATCCCAGCACCAATCACGTCAACCCAGTCCCCAGCAAGAGCAGGAAAAAAAAAACCACACGAAAGCGGCCCCTCGAGGAAGACCCAGCCCGCAGGTGACACCTGCCACCACCCCCCACCCCCACCCAAGAAGCGCCTGGACATTGACTTAATCACGCCCATTAAAGACCAGGTGATTTTTAACCTGCAGGTCGTCCCTGTCCCCTACCCAGGACTTTAGGACAGAATCGGATTTGTCCTGCAGCTCATCCGAAAACAACCTGCCAGGTTAGAAATCCTGGAAAAGGGATCAGAGAATCTCAAGACTCTTTTGGGGAGGAAAAGCGAGGCCCAGGAGAGAGCGCTAAAAGGAGCCCAGATCGGCCATGCGCCAGCCCCCATTTCTCCCCACCTCAGGCAGCTGGCTGTTAGCGCTATCTAGAGAAGCTTCCAGAAGCGGGGGCTCGTCTCTGATCTGCAGGGCCTCTTCTGCCGGGACGCTGCCCGCGGGGTCCTGGGAGTGCAGGAGCGAGTCGGGCTGGCCCGGCGCCGTCTCGCCTGCAGGCGAGTCACTGTTCAACTGCAGGGACAAAAATGGTAAGATGAGGCATTCACGCGTGGAGTCAGTGGCGGGCACAAAAGCCACGAGGAACGGCATCCTGAAATGCTTCGGGGTGGGGCTCAGCCGTAAACAGCTCCTGCAACCGGCCTGGGCGCGGAGGCTCAGTCCTGTCATCCCGGCACTCTGGGAGGCCGAGGCGGGAGGATCACTCGCTCGAGGTCGGGAGTTCGACACCAGCCTGAGCAAGAGTGAGGCCCCGTCTCTGCTATAAATTTACAGCAACTACAGGAGGAGACAAAGAAGACATAATAAAAAGGAGAACTAAAAAAAAATCTAAATAAATAAAAAAGTTATTAAATAAAAATAAATTATTAATATTATAAAAATAATTATTAAATAAAAAATTAAAAAAATAAATACATAGAAAGAAGTTAGCCAAACAACTAAAAATAGAAAAAAAAAAATTAGCCGGGCGTGGTGGTGCATGCCTGTAGTCCCAGCTACTTGGGAGGCCGAGGCAGGAGGATCACTTGAGGCCAGGAGTTGGAGGTTGCTGTGAGCAAGGCTGACGCCACGGCCGGCACTCACTCTAGCCCCGGGCAACAGAGCGAGACTCTGTCTCAAAAAATTAATAATAATAATAATAAAAAGAGGGGCCGGGCGCGGTGGCTCACGCCTGTCATCCTAGCACTCTGGGAGGCTGAGGCTGGAGGATCGCTCGAGGCCAGGAGTTCGAAACCAGCCTGAGCAAGACCGAGACCCCCGTCTCTATTATAAATAGAAAGAAATTAATTGGCCAACTGATATATATATATATATAGAAAAAAATTAGCCGGGCATGGTGGTGCATGCCTGTGGTCCCAGCTACTCGGGAGGAGGCTGAGGCAGGAGGATTGCTTGAGGCCAGGAGTTTGAGGTTGCTGTGAGCGAGGCTGATGCCACGGCACTCATGCTAGCCTGGGCAACAGAGCACGACTCTGTCTCAATCAATCCATCAATCAATCAATCAATCAGAGGGAGACGCGAGGGGCCGCATCTACGTGCAAAGGGGACCGCGTACCAGCTGCGTGCGCGACAGTATCTGGCTGGCCGTGAGCGCAGCCTCTTCCTCGGAGGACTCGTCCGTGTCCTCCTGGTTGGTGAGGTTCAGGCTGGGCGTGCTGCTGGAGCACGGGTACTCCTGCAGGGAGGGCGTGTCGCCCTTGTCCATGCTGTCCAGCGAGCGCCGGCGCACGCCCCAGTTGAAGTTGTCCATGCTCTCGCCCTGCAAAAGCAAGACGCGGCGTCTGAGCCACCCCGGACTGCAGGCATCCGCGCGGGAAACGCAGCACACGGGGAAGACACTCGCCAAGACAGAAAACGCAGGATGTGCACCGTCAGAAGCAGAGTTTCAATCAGCCCTTCGATGTCTTTAAACTTCTAGCTCGCCATGAAGGATGCATGTTTCAAAAGGACCCAGATTATTTGCTTGGCAATCTGTGATAAGACTGAATTTTCCCGACTTTCTGTCTTGGATCACCAGGGGGCGGGGGGGACCAACCCAATCCAATATCTTAGGCCACTTCTGTTCTAATAATACGCAAACACACGAGTGAGACCACACAGAGGACAAATACACCGCAGGCGACAACAGGTAAACAAGCCACGACACCGAGTCACAACTTACCTGCAGCTCCTGGTTAGCAAAAAGGGAAAACACACAGAATTAGAAAGAACGAAGACAGACATTTAAATATATGCTATGCTTTTTTGGGGGCGGGGGGGGGAACTCTGAGATTTTGCAAACTCAAAGACTGATTCAAGCTCTGGGCTCAGCTTTGTGCAGGAAGCCGACGACATGTGACTCAAACTACTTTCTCGTGCATCGTAGAGCGTGAAAAAGTCAGAGACAGACACTTAAAACAACATTTCTGTGATCCACGCTGGCAACACGAACTTTTAAGAAAATCCTCAAAATTTACATGGACTTAATACTTGGTACAAGGCAAAAACTGACTTCAAATACCCACATTCGACTGACAACACGCAAAGTCACAATTAGTTTAGTCGGGAGGATGGCTCTGGCTAGGTGCAATGGTCATTTTGTACTATGAAATAATTTAAAAATCAAGGTCACAGCTATCAAAATACAACCGTCGCCAATTTCAAAGGAAATATGACAAATTTCAATTTCATCCCACTTGAGGATTTATAGAAGTTATGTTTCTGTTATTATAAGCTGATCCTGCTTTTGTAAGGATATAAATATACTTCTTTTATTTTATTTTTTTTCTGTTTAGTCACATTTGATACTCCAGCTGTTTAAATATACTCCTTATAATCTTTCTCAGGCCTTGATATGACAAATTACACTGAGTTCGCTGGCAAAATATGATTTATTTGTATCACTTTACTTAGGAAGGCATTGTCCAGATTAGAGGTTTTCAAATTTTTCTTTTCTTTCTTTCTTTTTTTTTTTTTTATAAAATAAAGCAGAAGAGTATTTATTTCAAATGAAATTTTAGAAGAAAGTCAATTGTGCAAAACTACTAAAACCAGAACTGCTCTGGTTGAAGACAACACCCAGGAGAGATCTGGTCATTTGGCCTTTGGAACTATCCCTGCTATTTCTCAAGGTATCTCAGAAGCCCAGAGCTCTGCAGGTTCAAGTTTGAACACCACGTTCCTAAGGACATTTTAAATATTATTATTCAGCATAACACATAATCACAGCAGCAGCCCTTAATATATATTTGGTGAGTGAACAGACACTGTGGGCTTTTGGAGGAGGGCAACATTTTAGAAGTTTCAGTAGTAATTGGGTTTCATAGCAATCAAAATATTTTCTGTTATTGTGTTTTAAATACTAGACCCAGGTTCTAGAAAATCTATATCGTTTGATTTGGACTAATTATGAGGCACAAATTAGCATCCTCACTCTTGCCCCTCATATTACTGTGACTTGCAGTAAAGACAGAACTACAATAAGCATCTTTCATCCATTCTAAGGTTCTATTAAAAGCCATGTTCATTACTACTGACATTTTAGAGTACTGGATGGACTTGAAGGCATTTACAGTGCTCTTTAAACAAAAAAAAGGCAAACAGACAAACAAAAAATAACCCTACCATTACAAAAATGTCAAGACCTGCCTTTAGAAATATAAAATCTGAACTGAGGAAAAAAAACAAAAACAAAAACAACCCTAAATAAATACAGAAAGGTAGAAGCTGCTCATGGCCTTAAGGCAGAGCAAGAGGTTTCTTTGAGTCATCCCAGTTTGTTGCCTGGTTGTGCCAGTCTGTGCTATTTCCTACAATATGATTTTCAAGTGATGAGAGTGAAGTCAGTTTTAGGGGTTGGTGACCCGCCCTTTTTGGGAAAAGAAAAACGAAATGAAAAGAAAGAATAGAAAATATAAACATGGCATTTAGCAAAGCAACTTCTTCGCTTTTTCTGAGAGCATTTCTGGAAGCTGCTCTGTGTGACTTGTTTGCACACAGCAGTGACAAGCCACCCCGCTGTAGTGTGAGGTCAAGCTGACTTGCAGAGAGGGGCAGGGCTCAGGGAACTGCAGAGAAGCAGCCAGAGAGTTCGCTGAGCCACAGCTGAGTACAGAAGCTCCCACTCTGGACTAGCTCACTCTGGTGAGCAAAGAAAGCTACTTTTTGAATTTAAAAGTTCCATTTACAAGAAAGCTTCTATCAACATAATCTAGACTGAATCAACTTAGAGGAGAGAGCCCTTTGGGTGTTCAATGAAACGAGGCATTTGAGAGAGTTTTAGCGACATCATAAAGAAGAGAGAGGCCAGGAACGCCCCGGGAAGAACCTCAGTCATTTGCCAAAGGGAAAAGTTCTAGAAGGACAAAAGCCTTCCCTGGCAGTCAATATAGTGGTAAGTGCCACCCTGTTTAAAGTTGCTGGATCAATTTTAATATCATTTTTTAATTTTTTCACTGCACACTCGCTTGTACACCTCCTGCAAAATATTTAAGACTGATAAGCGCACCCTAAAAATAATTTTGAAGGCATATTTTTATGTTTCCAAAGATAAAGATGAAGAGCTGCAAGTTCTTCCATCTCATACTCATTCTGCTGTCAGCTCACTGTGGCACTCACACGTTTAGTCCTTGTTTCCATTTTCACCTTTGTGATCTTACAATGACCTCGATGAGGGACGACCCTGGGGCCAAAGCCTTAGTTTTCACGCGACCGTCCACTGTTCTGAGGACACGGACAAAGAGAGGCCGAGGCCTTACCTCTGCGTCCTCCAGCTCCACGTCTAGAAAGTCAAAGTCCTTGAAAACACCAAACTGCTGTTCGCTGCTGCTGTCCTCCACCGCCGCTTCCTCCTCCTGGGTTCTGTGCTCCGTGGCAGAGATGAGGCTGGTCTGTGGGTCTCCGGCCTCCAAATCCTCGTTGGAAGAAAACACGACCTGGCACCCCACACGGGGAAAAAAGGAAAAAGAGTCCCCCTGTCAGAGGGCCACCCTAACACGACACAGCAACGTCCCAAAGCCGCCGCAGGCCTTATCCATCCTGCAGAAGCTTCCGAGCTTGAATTTGGCCTTCATCTCCGACGAGCCCAGCCTCTAATTAGCCCTGCTGCCAGGTTTTATCACAACAGACAGGGTTTTTTTGTTTTTGCTTTTTGAGACAGAGTCTCACTCTGTTGCCCAGGCTAGAGTGAGTGCCAGTGGGTCAGCCTCGCTCCAGCAACCTCAAATGATCCTGGCCTCAAGCGATCCTCCTGCCTCAGCCTCCCGAGTAGCTGGGACTACAGGCATGCGCCACCATGCCCGGCTAATTTTTTCTATATATATATATTAGTTGGCCAATTAATTTCTTTCTATTTATAGTAGAGACGGGGTCTGGCTCTTGCTCAGGCTGGTTTCGAACTCCTGAGCTCAAGCAATCTGCCTGCCTCGGCCCACACAGAGTGCTAGGGTTACAGGCGTGAGCCACCGCGCCCGGCCTACAGACAGGTATTTTTTCATTCTTAGTTAACACCATAAGTTAGGTGAATTAGAAAAAACAGGCAAGGAGGAAGAATCACTTCTTTTTTGGGAGGGGGCACAGAGTCTCACTCTGTTGCCCGGGCTAGAGTGCCGTGGCATCAGCCTAGCTCACAGCAACCTCCAACTCCTGGGCTCAAGCGATTCCTGCCTCAGCTCCCTGAGTAGCTGGGACTACACAGATGGCCACCATGCCCAGCTAATTTTTTATATATGTTTTAGTTGTTCAATTATTTCTTTCTATTTTATTTATTTATTTATTTTTTTTATACTTTTTCATTTTTAAAATTTTCTTTATTTAACTGACATTAAGATATTCACACAGAATTCTTCTAGTTTAGTAGAGACAGGGTGCTGCTCTTGCTCGAGCTGGTCTCGACCCTGACCTTGAGCGATCTCCCGCCTCAAGCCTCCCATAATAGAGCTAGGATTGATTACAGGCATGAGCCACCTCGCCCGGCCCAGAATCATTTCTTCATGGAATGACTTTTCTTTCTATTTTTTTTTCTTTCTCTTTTTTATTTTTTATTTTATTTTATTTATTTTGAGACAGAGTCTCATTTTTGTTGCCCTGGCCAGAGTGAGTGCTGTGGCATCAGCCTAGCTCACAGCAACCTCAACTCCTGGCTCAACAATCCTCCTGCCTCAGCCTCCCAAGTAGCTGGGACTACAGCATTGCCATGCCGCTCATTTTTTGTATATATTAGTGGCCAATTAATTTCTTTATTATAGTAGAGACGGGGTCCTGCTCTTGCTCAGCTGGTTTCGAACCCCTGACTCGAGCAATCCGCCCGCCTCGGCCTCCCAGAGAGCTAGATTACAGGCATGAGCCCACGCCGCCCTATTTTATTTTTTTTTTAAACAAATTAACTTTATTAAAATTACTGCTTGGGTCCTTACACTGATTCGTCTCTCTCTCTCTCTCTTTTTTTTTTAATCTCTTTGTTTCTTTCTTTACCCTACATGAACTTTGACTGGACATGATTTTTAAAGCCTCTACACTTGCCCTCATGATTACTCACCGATGGATTCTTTGGGAGGCCAGACTCTGGACCACAGAGAGACAGCACGTTCATTAGCTTTTCTCTTGTTCTTCGCTAAAGAAAAAAATAAAACAAAAGTAAAAAATTCAAATGCTAGGATTACTGAGAAAATAAGGCATATTCTCAAGTTTTCCCACGTATCACAAAACTGAGTCTTGTGTCCTGTGAACGTTCCACTGGATGTCACTTACGCACCTGTGACAACTGCGGCCTTTTCCAACTAACAGGAAGCAGGGCGTTGGAGTTGGAACTGGAGGACGTGGAGGAAGTGCTTCTAGTGACAGCGATGACTTTGGGTTTGCCATTTCTCCCGGCTGCGCTGTGCTGATCTCCGTATTTATTTCCAATAATTGGGGTCTACGCAGAAACAGAATGCCAGGGTTTGACTCGGCTATTTCTGCATAGACTTATATAACAGTGTGCCCATACTGACTTTTAAAAAAAAAAAAAAATGGCCAAAAGACAACATAAAGAGAGAAAATTACTTAGCATGAGGTGGATGTTATAAAAACCAAAGGTAATGACATCTTTTTTCTTTAATCACGAGATTTGACTTCACTGGAAATAACTTTACACCTGGGATTATCAGAGAGCCTGTTCCCATTTTAAATGCAACCTGCTTTCTTTAAAAACCACCACCTCCCACCTTCCCCTTGCCATGACTGTAAAATAGATCCTCCTTGTGGAAAGCTCAAAAAATATATAAAAGATTATTTTTAAAAATCACCTATATTCTCACCAGAGTTAACAGCTGTTAAATTGTTTGGTGGGTTTTTTTGCAATGCATACAGTTAAATGCCCTTCAATAATGTGGTTTTAGCAAACATTGACGATAAATAACAACTTCAAAGAGGAAAATATCCTAAATGTTATCTTCTTACACACAAAGAGCTAATCGTTAATATTCCCAACGGTGTTATTTTCTGGTAAAAAAATCTATGACAGAGTAGGAAGATACTCCTTTGGGGAGTTAAAAATTCGGTGCCATTGCCAAGTTGTCTGCGAATTCCCCAAAAAATGCAAGGTCATCTGCATGCCAATCTCAAGTCTTTAAAATCTTCTTTTCCTGAGCCCAAATACTTGAAAGACCCACTCCCTCTAGACCGTTCACACTCCAGCAAACCTAGCTTCCTACTGTTTCCCCAAATATGACTACTGATCCTTTTAGACTTACTTTGACAGCCTGTTGGCCTCCTTTGCGTGGGATATCCAGTAAGTAAACCCCTAATCACCTTCTCAATGTTTTTTTTTTTTCTGTTTTGAGACAAGTCTCACCTCGCTGTTGCCCCGCAAGCGCCATGGTTCAGCTAGCTCACAGCAAACCTCCAACTCCCCGGGCTCAGGCGATTCCTGGCCTCAGCCCCAGAAGTAGCTGACTACAGCGGCAATGCGCCAGCCATGCCCGGCTCATTTCTTGTGTAATAAATATCAATAGCAGCTAGGGGCCAATAGTCTTTCTATCTTAGTAGCAGACCCGGGCTCCTCAGCGTTTCGAACTCCCACCTTGAGCAATCCCCGGCCTCGGGGTCAGAGTGCTAGATACAGGCGTGCAGCCCGCGCCCGCAGCCTTTTTTTTTTCATGCTTGAGTCCAGACTTCAAGGACTGCGCCCTCTCTCACACCACCAATCCATCTCTGGTAACCTAACTGGAACATTTAGAACTGGTGATCCTTTGTAGTTTTCCTTCTACTACACGTGTGTCCCGGGGACCCTGAGTAATCACCTCTGTATACCTCCAGTGTCTATGCATGGCACAGACATAAAGAATTTTATTTATGAAGAATTAATAAAGAATTTTTGGTGAACCAAATGGAAATTAAGCATACAAAATGTTTTGAGAATTTGCATTAGTGCTTCAAATAAAATAATTAAGTTAGGGCCAGGCCTGTCATCCTAGCACTCTGGGAGGCCGAGGCGGAAGGATCACTCAAGGTCAGGAGTTGGAAACCAGCCTGAGCAAGAGCGAGACCCTGTCTCTACTAAAAATAGAAAGAAATAATTTGGATAACTAAAAATATATAGAAAAAAATTAGCTGGGCTTGGTGGCTAATGCCTGTAGTCCCAGCTACTCGGGAGGCTGAGGCAGGAGGATCGCTTGAGCCCAGGAGTTTGAGGTTGCTGTGAGCTAGGCTGACGCCACTGCACTCACTCTAGCCTGGGCAACAGAGTGAGACTCTGTCTAAAAAAAAAAAACAACAAAAAAAAAAATTAAAAAGATAATTATGGTATATGATCAATTTATAACTCAGAAGAAACAGGAAAGCCAAGTTTATCATGTTACATACTTTGTATTAGAAATTCTCAGATGTTACAAGTATCTGAATGGGCAAAAAAAAAAAAAAGAAAGAAAAGTAAAAATAATATAAGAAAAGGAAAAAAAAGAAATTCTCAGATGTCAATTAACTTCAAAGTTAGCAAGAAACATACATTCCATTTGAAAAAAAAACCAAAACACAAAAAACTCAAAAGACCCCTGCAAAAACTTTTGGATAATTCTATTACCAAGACTAAAACTGCAATAAAAAATATTTTTACTACATAATCCTAATCAATAAAACATAATTAGATCTTTAATTATTTTTCTTTCTCAAGCTCCTACAATACTTGATCAATAACTTCCTTCTTAAACATCATTCCCATGGCTTCCAAAGACCATTTTGATGACATCCAGCCACAAGGGGGGCTCAGGTGCCAGAGGAAAAAAAATCAGGATTCCCACTAAGGGTCAAAATCTTGACATGAGATTTGTACTAATATGTAACCAAGTCAGGGTTCAGCTTTCCTTCTGGACTGGTGGGCCCTGCCTTTGCCTAGCCCTAAAATATTGGGCTTCTTAGGTTTCGTTTTATTTTAGCCCCGTTTCTTTTGAGTTTTCCTTCCATGGTGTTAGCTATCCACTGATACAACACGGAAAAAAACCCTTGAAGTGTTACTTCCACCCAAGTTTTCGTCTAAAAATTCAGATCCTCGAATCTAGTTGTCCACTAGGCATCTCCATTAGGACGTTTTAGTCACTTCAGAGTCAATGTGTCCAAGACCCAAGCCATCGCTCTCTTCTTCCTGGGGCCATCACTCTTCCACCGGCCAGGGCCACTCCTCAAACCCCTGATGCCTCTTCCCCTCCCTCCCGTCAAATCCCAGCAGTTACTTCCTTGGCCTTTTTTGTAACTATCCTTTCCCTCTTCCTTTCTCTCTCAATTATTTAGGGACAATCCCACATTATCTTTTGCCCAGATTATTCTAACAGATTCTTTATTAATTTTCCTCCCTCCTCCCTGGGCTATTTTTCCCATCTTGTTACAAGAGTGATCTTCCTAAAATGCAAACTCTGATATTTGCTATTCCAGCTAAAAATCCATTAAGAGCTCACACTGTGTTAAGATAAAACCAGCTGGGGCCGGGCGCGGTGGCTCACGCCTGTAATCCTAGCTCTTGGAGGCTGAGGCGGGATCGCTCGAGGTCAGGAGTTCGAAACCAGCCTGAGCAAGAGCCAGACCCCCTCTCTACTATAAATAGAAAGAAATTAATTGGCCAACTAATATATATATATATATATAAATTAGCCGGGCATGGTGGCACATGCCTATAGTCCCAGCTACTCAGGAGGCTGAGGCAGGAGGATTGCTTGAGGCCAGGAGTTTGAGGTTGCTGTGAGCTAGGCTGACGCCATGGCACTCACTCTAGCCTGGGCGACAGAGTGAGACTATGTATGTATGTATGTATGTATGAATGAATGAATGAATAATGAATAAATAAATAAATACATACATACATACATAATAAAAAAAAACAAAACCAGCTGGTTACTATGGGATGTAAGATCTCTGTAATCTCGCCCTTCCTATGCCTCTGGCCTCATCTCTCATCACACTCCACCTGCATTCTCTGAACTCTGTACTTAAGGTACGCTCTACTACTGGAAGCTTCTAGAACATCATGCTTTCCCACGCGTGCAAGCCTTCACTCACACACACTCCGTTTCCCCGGGTTTAACCTCTCCTCCCCCAATCCCCTGTCTAGGGTTACTGTGTCGTTCAACGCTCAGCTCGGACTGTTACTTCTTTCCTGAAAGCAGGTGCTGTCCGTTCCCACCGCGCTTCTCACTGGCCCAGCCAAGCACGGGTCAGCAGGTTTATTTGCCTTTCACCCCAAGAGACCGTAAACTTCCCCAGAGTAGGCCTCCCCCCTGCACCCCGCTTTTCGTAACAGCTATCACAGGCGCGAGCCACTGAGTGTGAGCTCAGTCAGTGCTGGTGGGATGAGGGAATGAATGAATGAATGAATGAATGAATGAATGAACGAACGAACGAACGAACGAACATTCTTGAATGAGCACCTTGACCAACTCCTGAGCATCTTACCTCGGATATATCAAAATGAAAATCTAAAGTCTTCCCAGGCAACTCCTTGGAAACATTATTGAAAATTTTAGTGAAGGATATTTCGGGAGAACCCATGTCTCCCCCGTAGGTCTTGGGGACATCGTTGGGTACAACAAGACTCGCAGAGCGCGACACCACCAGTTTCAGTATGTTAAGGGCTTCCTTCCAGTAAGGACTCTGGTTTAAAAGATAATTAACACGTAAAAGTTACAAATGCGCATTTATATAAGAATAATTTAGTGTACACTGTAGACTATGAAAGTATCATTTACACACATAACAATGCTACCAAATCAGAATATCTTACTTTTTCTGCCAATAAATCCTTTATAATTATCATTAATTTGGAAAGTCTAATACAATAATCTTGCAATAGTGGTAAACAAAGAGGCTGTTAGATGCTTGAACTTTCTGGTTTTAAGATTCTAAAATTATGGCTGGGCACGGTGGCTCACGCCTGTCATCCTGGCACTCTGGGAGGCTGAGGCGGGAAGATCGCTCGAGGTCAGGAGTTCGAAACCAAGCCTGAGCAAAAGACCCTGTGTCTTTACTAAAAAAATAGAAAGAAATGAATTGGCCAATTAAAAATATATAGAAAAAATTAGCCCGGTGTGGTGGCGCGTGCCTGTAGTCCCAGCTACTTGGGAGGCTGAGGCAGGAGGATCGGTTGAGGCTAGGAGTTTGAGGTTGCTGTGAGCTAGGCTGACGCCACGGCACTCCAGCCTAAGCGACAGAGTGAGACTCTGTCTCAAAAAAAAATAATAAAAAAAAAAGATTCTAAAATTTAAATATTTTAAGTCTTGCAAATACTTTTTTAATGTATACATTCTCAGACATAAAGATATTAAAACACTTGAACATATTTTGGATATTTTTTCTTGATAACCCAGGCTCCGAATAATGATTGTATATACAATGCTAAAATGATGTTCTTAGGGATTACTGAGTTGTACGGGGTAAGTTTTTTCCCCCTACATATTTGTGGCTATGTTTTTAAGGTTATTTTTCTGGTTTTTCCCACCAACATAATTTAGGAGTGCTTTACACGTTAGATGTATATGTGGGGAAGACTCAATGTTTGATAAAAATTTATACTATCTTTCTTGTACCATCTACTTAAAAGAATACATAGAAAAAACTACTTTTTTTCTTATTTATGGTACCAAAATCACATCTCAACCTTGTATTATAAATATTCTTTCACAGTTGACATCTAAAGAAAGAAAAACACCATTAAAACAACAACAGCAAAAAGGAAGTGACAAATTTTTGGCAGAACTGAGTTATCCAATTTAGCTATAACATCATGATATGAACATACCTAAAACACAAAATTTTATCAGCCACAAAAAGTAACTCTAAAATACAGGCTCTTCAAAGAGATCCTCTAAACGTGGTATCTGTTCACTATGTAGAATCTGGTTAAAAACCAGGAAAGTACAAAGAAGGAAAGAGCAATGAGTCACAATCCTAACTTCCAGAGACAGTGACTGCTGCCATTTGTGTATACGCATTCCTTCCAGTCATTACTGAAATGCATGCTCGTCAATGGAATTGTTAAAATCAAAAGTAGGAATCAGGCCAGGTGCGGTGACTCACGCCTGTAATCCTGGCACTTTGGAGGCTCAAGTGGGAGGTCCACTTGAGGCCAGGAGTTTGAGCGCAGCCTGGGCGACAAAGCAAGACCCCATCTCTACAAAATTAAGAAAAATGAGCCAGGCGTGGTGGCGCATGCCTGTAGTCCCAGCTACTCGGGAGGCTGAGGCAGGAGGATCGCTTGAGCCCCGAAGTGCTAGGAGGCAGTGAGCTATGATCACGCCACTGCACTGCAGCCCAAGCAACAGAATGAGACCTTGTCTCCAAAAAATAAATAAATAAAAAAAGGTAGGCGCCATATACATCCTACCATTCCAATTCTGCTTTTTGCCAGTTACACTGAGAATATTTTCCATGTTGTAAACATTTCTGAAAACACGATTTATGGATTAATCACTTTCCTCTTGGATATTTAAGGCATTTCCAGTTTTTATGATTACCAATGGTTTTGAGCTATACGATGCTATATGCAAGCTTCGCGGTCACTCACCTGGACATATTTGCCAATGATCTTTATGATCTCCAGATTGAACTGCTTGATGGGGGCTGCAGACAGGTCGATATGGCTCAGCAGACTGTAGATAATCTGCAGTAATGACTGCTGCATGCTGGACAGTCCTTTCTCTAACAGCTAAAAGTAATATTAAAAAGTATACTTTCATGAGGTTGAAGAAAAACTCAGTATTTACATCTATGATGTTGAAAAACATAATGGATTTAACCAATGAGTTTACAGATGATTAGAAATCTAGAGACTGATAAAGTAAAAAGGGGTAACGTTTACTACTGCTATTTTCCCTGGTTCAGAAAGGAGAGTTAGGTAATTGTTTTTCATCTCGATTGCAGTGTTTTATTGTCAAAACTCATTTAGTTAAAAACCACTTATTTTGGGTTAAAAGGAAAAGTGTCAAAACCACAGAGTAGCTACTTGAAAAGTAATCATACCCATCATGTTATTAGCTACATGATCTCGTACAAGGTTACTGACCTCTCTGGGCCTTGGTTTTGTTTTTTTTTTAAGTGCAAAATAGCAGTTATCACATACCTTGTAGGGTTTTTGCAGGGCAGATTAAAGATACATAGTTTTAAAAACATCTAACTAGTTTTCATACAATTGTTAGCAATAGTTTGAGATCTATGAATAACAACAACACAAGGATCAACAAGCATTCTCTTTGCAGAGCGGAAAAATATTGTCCCTGTGTGGTACCGAGACAGTGAGTATGGCCTTGATGGTGAGTTTCATGGTGGCACAGATGTGACGCTGGTCGATGGCACTTAAATATGACAAGTGGACGAATATTTTTAGCGATTAGGAATTTCTACCCTTTGAGGTCCTCTTTGTGGCTATCTACTCAGTAATTTACTTTTCTGGGTGTGAAGTTATTTCTTAGGCATCAGATAAATATTAACTTTTTATGCCGTTCTACAGGCACCTTTTTCGTCATCTATTTTTTCGCCCCCTCAAAATCGTATTTTAGATAGGAAGCTAATACATCATCAGAATAAAAACTTGCCTAGCCAGAAAGGCTTCTGCATGCTGTGCTATCATTCTAAAAAGGATTTCACCAGCCTGAGCAAGAGTGAGACCACATCTCCAATAAAAATAGAAAGAAATTAATTGGTCAACTGAAAATATATAGAAAACATTAGCCGGGCATGGTGGCGCGTGCCTATAGTCCCAGCTACTCGGGAGGCTGAGGCAGGAGGATCGCTTGAGCCCAGGAGTTTGAGGTTGCTGTGAGCTAGGCTGACGCCACGGCACTCTGGCCCAGGCAACAGAGTGAAACTCTGTCTCAAAAAATAATAATAATAAAAAAAATAATAATAAGGATTTCAAAGCCAAGAACTAATTTTGTGAAAATAAGAATTATAACCGTTCTGTAGGATTAAGACCACTAAAAACCTATTTATCATTTTAAATAAAGGTGAGGTTGACATTAGTTTGATGTCACTTACGGAAGGACAGTGAGTAAGGAAATAAATACTTGAGAAAACAAAAACCCCCTTCATAAATAAGAACTTCCTTTGTACTTGAATTACCTTTTTCCTTAAAAAAAATATTATCTATATCCACTCTTTTTTTTTTTTTTTTTGAGACAGAGTCTCACTCTGTTGCCCAGGCTAGAGTGCCGTGGCATCAGCCTAGCTCACAGCAACCTCAAACTCCTGGGCTCAAGCGATCCTCCTGCCTCAGCCTCCCCGAGTAGCTGGGACTACAGGCATGCGCCACCATGCCTGGCTCATTTTTTTCTATATATTTTTAGTTGGCCAATTAATTTCTTTCTATTTATAGTAGAGACGGGGGTCTCGCTCTTGCTCAGGCTGGTTTCGAACTCCTGACCTCGAGCAATCCTCCTGCCATGGCTTCCCAGAGAGCTAGGATTACAGGCAGTGAGCCACCGCACCCGGCTCTATATCCACTCTTAAAGACAAGTTGAATATCAGTACCAGTGCTACTTCTAGAAATTCTGAAATTGCACTTGAGCATTCTGCCACGGGACAGCTAAGAAGAATATATACACATGCACACACATTCTGGAAACTTACCTCGGCCAGATAGATCACGAGGTTGAAGGTAGTATCTGAGAAGGAGTCGTGCAGGTATCTGCACACCACGTTGATCCAGTTCGAGCAGTCTCTGGAGTACGTGTGCGTGCTGTACAAGCTCATCATGTGCGCCAGGTTGACCAGCGTCGGGCATTTCTCTTCTGCACAGACCTAGGGGACAAATAAAACCACCTCATTATTATTCATCATAAGACAGTGACACCTATTTAAGTGTAAAATAGCAGTTATCGCATACCTTGTAGGGTTCACAGGGCAGGTAAAAGATACACAGCCTTAAAAACATTTGATTAGTTTTCATATACATTTTTATATGAAATTAATTATAAATAAATAATAAATTATTCATATAAATTTAATATTCAACAATGAATTAATGAATGGATTCATTGATTATTTCACCTAAGAGACACAAGTTCAAACTTGATTTATACGAAATGTATTTATTGAATGAAACAATTTAGATATATATTCTAACGTTTCAACGCATTGTATATTTCAATAGAGTAGGAAAGTTAAATAGAAGAGAAAAAAAGTATTCTTGAGAACAACAGCAGGTAGTGTGGAAAGAGGATTGATTAACATGTCAAAGACTTCTGTGGATAGCAAAACAGCAAATTGCTTCAGTCTAAAGATCTGTAAAGGTGTCTTGGGTATAAAAACCCGTGTTTGGTTTTGTAAACCCTAGACATCATTTTGGAACTGTTTTATGGAAGCCATAAGTGGTTCGGTGCACAAGTGCCTATACAGGCAGACTCAACCTGGCAGTTCTCAGGGAGGCTCAGAGCTGCTGAGCCGGGGAGGAAATGCTTTGGACTCCAGCTCTGTGCAAGACATCTCAGTAGACTGAGCAGTCCATTCCCAAGAGCCTCAAGATGTGTGATCGAGTCAAAGGACGCCATTGGGGGGGCTCTGATAAAACTCTGAGTCTTGGCCGGGCGCGGTGGCTCACGCCTGTCATCCTAGCACTCTGGGAGGCCAAGGCAGGAGGATCGCTCAAGGTCAGGAGTTCGAGACCAGCCTGAGCAAGAGCGAGACACCGTCTCTACTAAAAAAAATAGAAAGAAATTAATTGGCCAACTGAAAATATATAGAAAAAAAAAATGAGCTGGGCATGGTGGCGCATGCCTGTAGTCCCAGCTACTTGGGAGGCTGAGGCAGGAGGATCGCTTGAGCCCAGGAGTTTTTGCTGTGAGCCTGGGCAACAGAGCAAGACTCTGTCTCCAAAAAAAAAAACAAACAAACAAACAAAAAAACCCAAAAAACAACACTGAGTCTTGCATCTCTAATGGATGACAGTCTGCAGAGTAGACCCCAAACTGCTTGCTCTTCTGGAAATCTAAAGCGCTCAGATCCTTGGCCAATCTTTTAGAGGCCACTCCAAAATAGACTGACTTCTCAGGGTTTGTCTGATACAGTTCTATAGAATCTCAATGAACAAATGTTTGGGGGGATCTTATCGACTAAATGCACCTTCTTAGTCTGTCTGTTCCCTGGGTTACTGGTGAGGATGTTCCTTGGCCTCTTCCAAGAGACAGCTGAGCAATGCAGAACTGGAAAAGGGCCACAGCAATCTTCCATATCTATCTATCTATCTATCTATCTATCTATCTATCTATCTATCTATCTATCTATCTATCTATCTATCTATCTGTCTATCTGTCTGTCTGTCTGTCTATCTGTCTGTCTGTCTGTCTGTCTGTCTATCACAAAAGGCCAGCCACGTTGCAAGTTGTACTTTTAGTTTTTCTTTTTTCGCTTCCTTTACTTACTCTACCTTATTGCTGTTTCATATGTATTTTCACAACTGCCTTGAACACTTGCTAAAGAAATTAGAGTATTTCCTTTTAAAATATATATTTTTTTCATATTCTCTGACATAAAGATCGCTGGCTTTTACTTTGGTAATTCAGAACACATTTAATAGGCTCCGTTTGTCATTTGGGCATTACCACTGAATGGGCCCGGATATAAAGCTATGCAAAGACTGCAGAGACTACTCAAATAGTTCCTTGGAAGTTATTTTATAAAATCATTAAAAGCAGCTGATTTCATGCATCAGCCCTTTACCCATAAAACAGATAACAGAAAGAAGAAAGAAAAATTTTGTTGATATTTTCCAGGTTATTTGTATTTCAAAATGTTCATAATTTACCATATTGATGAAAATCACACATAAAATTTTAGAATTTTACAATAATTTGTTTAAATTCTTTAAAATACAAAAAAACTTTCCTGAAGAATAAAACATTCTTCCATTTGTTTCTAAAGAATGATTTTTGAAAACCTAATTTTGAAAAGGGAGAAAATTCCTTGGAACACATGCCGTGAAATTTTATAGAAAGCCAGCAACTTAGATTTAATTTGGGGATTTTTTTTTAATATTTAAATATTTATTTACTTTTTTTTTTTCCCCAGCAACTTGCAGTACTGCATAATTTTGGAATTTTTAAAACATCAGGTTAAAAATACAATTCAAAAAGAGTGTGTTTTATAAGCAAACTTTTTAGCCTATTTTTTTTTGCCATAATGAATAGCTAAAGAGAGCAATATCTGTCCAAAGTGTTGCCTCATTTTTGACATCACCCTTCTCACAAACAGTAGGACTGCGGGGGATTTTGCATAATGAGGAAGCACATAATGGCAGAAAATTACTCTCAACAGTTATGAGTGAGAGAATAATTAAGGAATCAATTTAATTCACATCCTGCAGGCTGCTAAAAGCATCCAGAGAAGGGACCTTTGTGTGCTGCCCAACGGGAAGAAAACAGACTTAAAAACAACTGATGAATCACAGGAGGCCACCTCTGATTTCTTAAGAACAACAAAAAAAGATATTTGTGAATTTCCTGTGCCCTTCTGAGCGCATGACGTCAGCAGCTGGGTACTCAGGGGCTGTGACATCCTTCAGGCCAGGAGGCTCCTTGGTCAGATTTCAGCTTAAATGCTTCAACCCCCCTTTCTTTTCAGGGGGTTTATACCTTTTATTTTTTTTTAATATACCTTTTATTTTCTTGAAATCCCAAATTACACCAATATATAGTTTTCCCCTTTTATTTTCTTTCTAACCCCTCATGTAAGGGGGAAAAAAAAAAATCCTTGTTTATAAAATTTTCCTAATGATGTGTCAATAGAATATAAAAGTGAAAGTCATTTTAATACATCTTACATTTTATATCACTTTAATTAATACCTTACTCTTACAAATGCATATTGGTTTCTTTGGGGCAAATCGTCATTTTCCAAAGACAGTATTTTAGTTCCAATAATCATAATTTTTCATCCTCTCTTGATATTTAATGTTCTATTGGATTCGTTTATGAAATAAAACCAAGAATCAAAGATAATTTTTGGCTCATCACCATTTTTCTTTAACTAAGATGTTGCCATTAGCTATAATAATGGCTCCTTTTTCAAAAGGTAAACTACAGGACAAAAAAAGAAAAAAAAAATAATGGCTCTTCTTTTGAAATACATGCTTTTAAAATGATTATGGTAAGAATCTCGCCATTATCTAATTTATTGAGAAATTTAATTGGGATGCAGTCAATAGCATAATTGTATTAGGTATTTGCCTGCCATTTATTAAATATTATCGGGATAGTGAAAAGGTTCTCACTCTTATTACTGTGAATGGGATTAATGGGGTTGGTAGTTTTGTTTTGTTTACTATGTTGGCACGCAGAGATAAATTTGTACTTCCAGTGTTGGAATCTGGGCCATGGAAAGTAGGTGTTTTTTTGTTTTTCTTTTTTTATATAATTTTTAACTCAAACTCACCAACACTGAGAAGGTGGGTGTTATTTGGCCTTCTTGTATCTGCTGTTCTACTTGCCAAAGGAACCTCAGCTTTTAAAAAAAAAATTGCCTATCTAAAAAGCTCTTCCTTTGTATTTTATTTGCTTGTTCCCTTCTGTTGAAAATTTGTTTTTTCCTCCCAGTGCTTTACCTAGGTTCTCTTACTGACAATTGCTATTCACTCCTCTCCTGCAGTTCACCAGATTTCCTGTTGTACCTGTATTACCTGTAAATTTACATAACTCCTTCTTGTAACTGTCCACATTTTTAGTCTGAAAAGCCTTCCCCACTGCAAGCCTCAATATTTGACCCTGCTCCCCCAAAATTAAGGATTATATTTAAGTAGAAGGCAAGCTGTTTGAGAGTTCCTTATTGTTCTTAAGAGAGGAAATTATTAAAAATAAAATGTAAAAAATCATATTCTAAAATTAAGAGCCATAATATATATATATATATATATATATTATTTATTTATTTTTGAGATAGAGTCTCACTCTGTTGCCCGGGCTAGAGTGCCATGGTGCCAGCCTCGCTCACAGCAATCTCAAACTCCTGGGCTCAAGCAATCCTCCTGCCTCAGCCTCCCGAGTAGCTGGGATTACAAGCATGCACCACCATTCTTGGCTAATTTTTTCTATATATTTTTAGTTGGCCAATTCATTTCTTCCTATTTTTAGTAGAGATGGGGGTCTCGCTCTTGCTCGGTCTGGTCTCGAACTCCTGACCTTGAGCGATCCTCCCGCCTCGGCCTCCCAGAGTGCTAGGATGACAGGCGTGAGCCACCGGGCCTGGTAAAAGCCATAATATTTTTAAACAAACATTATCAGATGATTTAAATAATCTGTACAGTGAGAATGGAAAAGCTAAATAAGGAAGAAAAAAAAAGAGTGAAGGGAGCAGAGAGAAGATGACGAGAAAGAGTGTTAAAAGGGAAAAAAGCAAACAAACATACAGGGAGAGAGACCTTTCAGAATTCCAACATACATTCTTATGCCCTTTCCTTCCTCTGGGCCTTTGCACACGCAATTTCTTCTGCTTGGAAAACTTCCAAACCCCTAGCCCCACTCTTTGCCTCTCATCCAGAGATCTTTCTTTGGTTATTCCTGTTCAGCCTTCGATTTCAGCTTAGCTATCAACTTCTTCCAGAAAGATCTTTGCTGTGCATGTTCTTACAGTATTTTGCCCTCCTATTGCTAAAATACTTACCAGACTCTGGTGACTGTCTATTTACTCAACTGCATTCCAAACCATGATAATTTCCACAAGGGTAAGTATTCTACCTACTTTGCAACACCTAACCCAGGGCTCAGTAAACACTTGGTAGCGAATAAATGAACGAAGGGAGACACTGACAGAGAGGTAGAGGATAAAGCTGGGAACACAGGAGCAGAAAAAGATGCAGACTCAAGAGGAGTGTCGCTCTTAACGAAATAATGTTATTTACTGTCATTTGAGCAGTAACTCACAGCATTACTGCATGACTCCTTTATATGCATAAAAAAATGAATGAAAAATTAGATGCAAAATTCACACAGGAAGCGACAGTAGAAAGATTTTTTTAAAGAGATCCCCCCCTCCCCTTGATAAACCACAGAGCAATTTCCCTGCAGTGATGTCATTATCTTTCGCCGTAACATTTGCTTACCTTTGCTATACGGCTAGCTGTTTCTTTGCAAAACTGAGTTGGGCTGTCAAAATGCTGGATTAAGTGAGGCAATAAGCAAAGGATGTTAAGAGGAAAGCCTATCAAAAGAAAACAAAAAAAAAAGCAAACAATAACCAATTTAATTGCACATGATTTTAAAAGTTAAAGGCATTTTTTTTTTTTTTTTTAAGATGGTTCACAGAAACCATTTTCATTTCCCAGGATACTCGAGCTTCTCAATTTTTATTTTTCATTTATTTTTGGCCAGGGGTCCTCAAACTTTTAAAACAGGGGGGGCCAGTTCACCGTCCCCCAGACCGTTGGAGAGTGGGGTGCAAACTTTTAAAACAGGGGGGCCAGTTCACCGTCCCCCAGACCGTTGGAGAGTGGGGTGCAAACTTTTAAACAGGGGGCCAGTTTACCGTCCCCCAGACCGTTGGAGAGTGGGGTGCACATTCCACGCATGCGCACTGTGGGCCCGGGGACTAGTCGGCCGCACAGCAGGACAAGCAGCGGCAGCAGAAACACGGGGGGCCGGGCCGGATAAATGTCCTCGGTGGGCCGCATGTGGCCCGCAAGCCGTAGTTTAAGGACGCCTGCTTTTTGCTTTTACCAGATAATGTAAGCTACCCGACACATTAAAAAAAAAAAACCCGAATAACTCTTTGCAGAAAAAAAGCTGAGTCGACTCCAAAACAGAGGGTTAGTTTGCAACGCTTCGCTACCTAAAATGCAAGGTGTTGGGGGGTGGGGGGCAAGGGTGCCGGTGCCATCACCTGACAGCTGGGACGGGTCCACCAGGGCGTGCCTGGAGACAGAAATGAGCCTGCTGAGGAGGTGCACCGTCACCTCCTGCGTGGACGGCGAGGTGAAGCCCTTGAGGAGCAGCTGCTGCAGGCCCGGGAAGCTGCTCCACCTCAGCTTGCCCTGCACAACCTCGATCCGCTCCCGGCTCTCCGGCCTGTCCAGCGGCAGGTGCGCCAGCAGCTTGTTGAGCAGCCTGAGGGCCAGGAGGTACTCGTACTCATAGTCCGACTCCAGCAAGGACGTGGCTATCCAGAAGATGGTGGCCATCAGGCTGGCGGGCTCGGTGGCGCCCTGCACGCCGCCCTCGCCCTTCTCCCTGAGGGAGGACAGGCTTCGAGTCCTGGCCAGGCCGCCGCCGTGGCTGACCCGCCCGTCCAGGATGTCCAGGGTGTTGCTCCGCCGCCGGTCGCCTCTTCGGTCGCCAGCTAAACTCAGCCTCAAGGAGCTGCTTCTCGCGCTGCTGTCGCCGCCCAGGTAACGGCCGCTGCTCATGGGACTCGTGCTCAGATTGAGCTGCCCGGTGCTCTTCCTGTTAGCTGCATACTTGTCTCCCATGACGGGGTCGTGGTACGAGGTTCTTGGAAGAAGAGAAAGAAGGAAGAGGTGACGAATGCACGCACACAGTGGCCTCTTAAGCCACGTTCATTCTCACTTTCCAAAACACTGCAGGAATAGTAGCGATGACCAGAGGGAAAGGATTTTTTCAGTGTGCCTGACTTCGTTGAAATTTCAGTTTGTCCTCCAAATTAAAACAACCAATTTCAGTTTGCCCTCCAAATTAAAACAGCAGTACCAGCCGGGAGCCGGTGGCTCACGCCTGTGATCCTGGCACTCCGGGAGGCCGAGGCGGGAGGATCGCTCAAGGTCGGGAGTTCGAGACCAGCCCGAGCAAGAAAGAGCGAGACCCTGTCGCTACTAGAAATAGAAAGAAATCAATTGGCCAACTAAAAATATACAGAAAAAATTAGCCAGGCACGGTGGCGCGTGCCTGTAGTCCCAGCTACTCGGGAGGCTGAGGCAGGAGGATCGCTTGAGTTGGAGGTTGCTGTGAGCGAGGCTGATGCCACGGCACTCTAGCCCAGGCAACCGAGTGAGACTCTGTCTTAAAAAAATGAAAAAAAAAAACAACCCCAAAAACCCAAAAAAAACAAAAATAAAACAATAGTACCCTTTCTACTGTGGCTATTTCTTTCTAATTGGGATAAGCTTTGACTTGCTAAGAAAATTTTGCCATAGCAATCAATGGCAACTTTCAGCTTTGGGATTTAGGCAAATGTCATGTCCAAAGCAGACCTCATTGGTCTCATCCTCAGACTTGATGGTCCTGATATTGCTATTTCCCTCCAAGGCACATTATTCTTAAGAGAACAAAGCTCAACCAATTATTTTTTGTTTTTCCTTCTCCCTCCCGTAAATCTAGTTATCATCGATTAGGAAACTATTGACCGAACGTTTTCTGCACATGCTAGCGGTATGCAAAAGGCTAGACATTTTAAAGTCCACCGTGGGAGGAGACAGATAAGCAAATGGATACATTCACAGCTTGTTAATTGCTATTATTAAAATATGAAGAAAACACCACCGTGAGAACCCCAAAGATGGAATAATGAGCTCTACTGTGGAAGAGTTGGAAATGCTTAGCTAGTAAGTGACATTTGGGGTAGGACTTGAAAGATTAGTGAATGCGGGGTTTGCAAGGCAGAGAAAATGGGAAGAGAGGCTACTCCAGAGAGAAGGTCCCATGTGTTAAGGGTGGGTCTCCCATGGGCCGGGCTGTTGGATTTTTTTCACAAGTCCTCATGGTCTGAGGCCCATTTCCCCACCATCCATCTGATTTGGGGGGTCTCATTCTCACAACCAGTATCAGAATGACATATTGTTATGGTTACACGCATTTAGCTACTGGAGTTCTGTGTACGTTATAGATTGCCTAGTTTAAATTCTTACTGCGAAAAGGCAGAAAGGAGATCATAATGCTTCATGGTTTCGGCCAAAGTATCAATTGCAGATTCCAAAGTGAGGAGAAGCTCGATCACAAATCCCTGGGGAGAAAAAGGCAGATTTTAATTACCTATGCTCCGGAAAAAAAATGACAATGGACTTCCCGATGAGAGTTAAAAATAGAGCAAACTCCGCATTAATATCACAAAATGATTAAACTCTTGAGCAACATGATCTTGTTGACTGATGAGAACTCATCAAAGGAATGGTATAAATTGATTCTAATGGTGCCACAATTTACTCAAAATTTCCAGGTCAGACATCTAAGGAGCTAGCCTTGTTTCTTTCTTTCCTGTCTAAACAAGACTGGAAAATATTACTTTAAAAAATGTTAGGTCATTCAATACGAAATGTCTGATTTTGAATCAAAAGTTTAGTTCATTTTGTCTCAAACAAGAAGCAGCACAATTAATCAAAGTATGAGCCTAAACCAAAGACACAGTTTTGCCATCTTAAGGGTAGCTTGTTCATGAAATCAGTAAAGGCGTTTCCCATGGTTTGTTGAGAATCGCACATTTTTGTGAAATGTTTATGAACATGTTTATGAAATCGGTAAAGGAGATTCCCATCGCTTGTTGAGAACTGATCATTTTTCCTTGCATGAAGTGGTCCAAAGCCTGGCAGAAGTGGCAGGCAGTTGGCGCGAGGTCTGGCGAAGACAGTAAACGACAGAGAGTTTCCAAGTCCAGCCCGCGTAGTTTGAGCAAGGTTGTCTGTGTGACATGCGGTTGAGCGTTGTCTTGCAAAACGATCGGCCCGTCTCTACTGGCCAATCTCGGCTGCTTAATCACAAGCATCCTCATCGTTTCGTCCAAATGGCTGCAGTCGACATCAGCTGTAGTCGACTGACCAGGTTGCATGAAGCCGTGGTGGATAATTCCAGCGCTGGACCACCAAACACACACCATTAGCTTTTGTTGATGAACACCTGGTTTTGGACTGTGTCCAGCACTTTGTCGTTATCCAACCATTGTGCCCAATGCTTGCAATTGTCAAAAAGAATCCATTTTCTACACATAGCAATGCAGTGTATAAATGGTTTGTCTTTATGTTGTGACAGAGGAGAAAGGCAAGCTTCGAGATGATGTGCCTTCTGGTGCTCATTTCATTCATTTGATACCCATACACCCAAATCTTTACCTTAATGATTTGTTTCGAATGGTCCAATATTGTTGGAACAGGGACATCAAACCCTGCTGCTAATTCACACGTAGGTTGAGATGGATTCGCTTCCACTATGGCTTTCAGCTCATTATTATCCATCCACCTAGGTCTCAGGTCAGCCACGTGGCTCATTTTCAAGATTAAACTCACCAGAACCGAACTTCTCAAACCATCAATGGACTGTGCGTTCATCGGCCACACACGTCCCAAACACTTCGTTGATAGAATTTCTAACTCTCTGCACTGCGCTGGTTCCATGATGGAACTCATGTTCAAAAAAGACGTGAATTTTTGACTTATCCATGCTTTCACAAAAATTGCTCTAAAAAACAAAATATTTGGAAGATAATCACAAGCCAAAATGTGCGTTTGAAAGAATGAAGATGTATCTTCATACACACACAAAAAAACACAAAAGACAAAAACAACCCAAGAAGTTTGAAAGTAAAATGTCAGAGATATCAACTGTCAAATTTAGCATTTAAGGAAATCAGACATTTCATACTTAATGACCTAATATATCCTAAATCTGACCATTTTTCTCTACTTCCACAGCTTCCCTTAATCTACCACCACTGCAGCTGCGACTCTTACAACAACCTCCTAACTGATCTCTCTTGCTTCAGTGCTCAACCTCTCTAAGCCAGGGGTCCTCAAACTTTTTAAACAGGGGCCCAGGTCACTGTCCCTCAGACCGTTGGAGAGTGGGGGTGCACATTCCACGCATGCGCACTGTGGGCCCGGGACCAGTCGGCTGCTAAGCAGGACAGGCAGCGGTGGCAAAAACACCGGGCGGGCCGGATAAATGTCCTCGGCGGGCCGCAGTTTGAGGATGCCTGTCCTAAGGACTTCATCTAGATTGAGTTAAGAAAACAAATCACACCCATCACCCTCCTTCTCTAAAAAAAAAAAAATCCTCTGGGTGGTTTCCCATCAATTCAGAGTGAGGTCCCACCTCTCACCTGGGCCTGCTAGGCCTTACATGATCTGGATCTACCTGCCCGATCAACCTCCTGCAATCCCCTCAATATATTCCAGCCATGCTGGTTTTCCTGGTGTTCCTCAAAAAAGCCCATTGCTTCTGCCGCAGGGCCTTTGCACTTGTTAGTCTTATTGCCCTCCGCCTGAAATGTTCTTCCCGAGATCGTAACAGGACTCCCTTTATTTCAGCAAGTGTTCAAAAATCACCTTCTCAGATTATCACATATAAAAAATAATTCCCTCTCCCCCATCACTCTTTACTTCTTTACTCTAACTTACTATTCTCACGGCATCTATCATGGAGATAAATGAGGTTATATATAATTGGTGGACTGAATGCTTGTTTCCCACAATAGAATACGAGCTCCAAACTGCCGGGAACCTTGTCTTGTTCATTACAGTCTCCCCAGTGTCTAAAAGAATGCTAATAAAATCATTAGCCTGTATAAACTTAAGTTCTCTAGTTTAGTAGTTCACTTAATTTTCTGAAAAAAAAAAAATGAAATTCAACATTCCATTTTACAATTAAATTTCACTTCTCATCGCTTTTACTTTGTGGTCATTGCAAGACAATATCCAGGGATGTGTATATGTACTAGACAGGCACTAGACTTATTTAATTAGTGGGTTATTAAGTATTGATTCTAAAACTTAACTTTTGTCTCTTAATTCCTTGCCTGCTGGTGAACACCTGGCATTAACCATTCTGCATAACCACTATCTTGCCCTAGCTGCAGCGGTCTGTATTTGGCAATAAACCCTTGACAACCAGGATTGTTGGAAGAATGGAATCAAATACCTGTGCATCTTCTCCTGGATCTCCTACGGTTTCCACCAGTCTGGAGAGAACATCAGAAAGGGTTGTTGCAGAGAGAGGCTGCTTTAGGGCCCTGAAAATCTGAAAGGATCTCCCAGCATAGTGTCGCGAGGAACAAGAAAGTGCTGTTTGCAAAGCGACTTCACTAAGGTGGCGTTCCAAATGCATTCCTTCTGCGAAAACAAGCAGGAGGTACTAGTTTTTTTTAGAATACCGTGTAGAGGTTATGATCAGAAGCTAATCATGTGAAAGCCAAGAGCTAGCACACTACCTGGCCAACTAGATAGACACTCAGATTTTGCAAGTCAATGCTTTTTCTTTGATTAAACTCCATCTGCATTTCGGATGGCTCTTTTTTCTAACCTCTAGGGAAACAATCTTGGAGACCAGGCAGGGTTGCTCAAACTCGGCACTACTGACATTTTGGGCCAGATGAAGACGATTCTTTCTTGAACTGTACACTCCTGGGCAGTGTACGATGTTTAGCTAGATGCCAGTAGCAACTCCACGTCCCAACCCGCAATTGGGACATAAATCTCTCCAGACATTGCCAAATGTCCCTTAAGGGGCAAAATTACTTCCCATTGAGAACCACTGTTCTAGACCAAGGGGTCCTCAAACTTTTTAAACAGGGGGCCAGCTCACTGTCCCTCAGACCGTTGGAGAGTGCGGGGCACATTCCACACATGTGCTCTGTGGGCCCGGGACCAGTCGGCTGCTAAGCAGGACAGGCAGCGGCGGCAAAAACACCGGGCGGGCCGGATAAATGTGGCCCACGGGCCATAGTTTGAGGACCCCTGATTCAGACACATAAATTTTCATTAATATTATCAGAATGTGTTAAATTTGAGATCACAAGGGTTACAGCTATTTTAGAATTTGTCTAGGAGGTTTTCCAGTCCTTACCAACCCGCCACCTAAAATTAACTAATTAATTAATTAATTATAGATCACAGAAGCCTGTAACAATATAAAAGAGAATTTTCAAGTTTGTCACCTCTGTGTAACTTTTTCATAACATACAACTGTATTGTAGTTTTATGACCCTGTCATACACAACACTTAGAAGCCCAGAATCTCATAGATAGCACGCATATTTTTAAGTAGTAACTTCATTTTCTCCAAACAAAACTTACTTGTTATCATTAAGTTAAAAAAGAAAGACCGTCTGAAACTTTCATTTAGACGCCTCAACTATCAACTCTTTGCTAACTAAGTATTATCAGAAATTGACATCACCTTAAGATACATCTCATTAAAATGTAACAGTATTCAAAACATTTATGAAAAGATACCTGAGCTTGACTGCTTAAAAACAGAAACCACATGTTTCAAAAATGTAGTTAGCTGCTCAGCACTCTTGATGTTGGGATTCTTAGGGGAAACGTCCTCATGGTTCCAAAGGGGTCCTCTTTTTCTGAAAATAGAGAACAGAAGTAACTCCCTTGGGTTTTTAACTTATTATTATGACAGTTGATGGCAGGATTTATTTATTTATTTTATTTTATTTTTTGAGACAGAATCTCACTCTGTTGCCCGGGCTAGAGTGCTGTGGCATCAGCCTAACTCACAGCAACCTCAAACTCCGGGCCTCAAGCGATCCTCCTGCCTCAGCCTCCCAAGTAGCTGGGACTACAGGCATGCGCCACCATGCCCGGTTAATTTTTTTCTATATATTTGCAGTTGTCCAGCTAATTGCTTCCTATTTTTAGTGGAGATGGGGTCTCGCTCTTGCTCAGGCTGGTCTCGAACTCCTGACCTCGAGCGATCCTCCTGCCTGGGCCTCCCAGAGTGCTAGGATTATAGGTGTGAGCCATCGCGCCCGGCCGATGGCAGGATTTTAAATGGCTAAAAACCAAAAAACAGTTGCACTCACACTTGCCTAATTGTGTACCTTTACAAGTAGAGAGGACAAAAGTTGAATAAATCAAAGATCAGAACACAGTCTGCTACTGCTATTTAGATACATGAATATGTAATGATCTACAGCAAGCAGAGAAGGGTCTAATTTCAACATCTACCAAATTCTCTCAGAGGGAGTAGGAAAAGATGACAAATTTTGCCAAGTGAGAAGAGTATTGGTTACTGCTTTTGTAGATCAAAACATGATTTGTGAGGCCAGGCGCTGTGGCTCACGCCTGTAATCCTAGCACTCTGGGAGGCCGAGGTGGGCAGATCGCTCAAGGTCAGGAGTTCGAAACCACCCTGAGCAACAGCGAGACCCTGTCTCTACTAAAAAATAGAAATTAACTGGACAACTAAAAATATATAGAAAAAATGAGCCAGGCATGGTGCGCAATGCCTGTAGTCCAGCTACTCGGGAGGCTGAGGCAGGAGGATTGCTTGAGCTAAGGAGTTGAGGTTGCTGTGAGCTGGGCTGACGCCAGGGCACTTTAGCCCGGGCAACAGAGTGAACTCTGTTTAAAAAAAAAAAAAAAAAAACAGACAAAAATGATTTGTGGAGGCTAGACTGTATTTAGATTATAATGCAAAGAAAATAATTTGCTGGTTAAATGCAGTGAAAACAATTTACTAGCTAAAACTATAGGGAAAGCATGGGACAGAAAAATGTCCCCTTGATTTTTTCCTTAAAATGTTTTTGCATTCTCAGGCTACCACTCAGTCAATCTCCTTGTTACCCGGGGCCCAAAGTGCCCTGAACCCTGCCCCCAACCCACGCGACTGTCAGTCTGTCCCAGCTCCATCTGTCCTGTGCACTGCTGTAGGGCCGATTCTCTCCCCCTATCAATTAATATTATGCCTCACACCCTCCCCCTAGCTCAACGACTTTCACTGTCATCTACAACCTTATGGCCCGGGCTCCGTGGCCCTAGAGCTCTCCCAAGCCTTCTAGAACTGTCTAGACAGAACAACTGTCTTGTCTCAACATTACAGTAAGAGAGCTCACTCGCCACTTCCAAACACACTCCGCTTTCTCGTGCCCCTGGTGACTCTGGTGTCGCTGTGGAATGGCATGCCCTTTCTCCCCATTGGTTTCCCTTTTCTATGTACAGTGCCTTGGCAGGGAGCAGCTCATCAATAAATATTCGGTGGCTGACTGATAACACAGCTCATGAAAGCATGAAGAGCTATTCAGATAACACTGCCTGCTCTCTGGGCATTCGGTAACCAGACACGATGAAGGCCCTTGTCAAGCGTAACTGCGTTTGGGTACAAAAGGAGGTGGCCTTTGGGGACATCAGAGTTTTCAAAATATTCCACGCTAGAAACCTGTGTATTTTGATCGAAGGGCGTTTCAGAGAACAGGAATATGGCTTACAACAGCTGATGGATGAAAGAACGACTTAGCCCCGACAGGGCTTGGGGGGGAGGGCTGCACGTGGTACCTGGAGGTGATGAATTCCATGAGGGTTTTGACTTTCCCGTCCTGCTCCACCGCAATGTCGACCTCATTGAGGATGGTGGCGTGCAGGTGCGAAATGGCAGCGCTGTTGTTTCCTAAGCTGATGCTGGAAGAGGTAGAACTTGAGCTAAGCCCTGAGTCGGTCATAGGGGAGGGCTGGTAATCAGGTATAAAATCGTTAATGCCTGCTGAGAGAGAAAGGTGGACACAGGTGAACCCCACAAAGCACTTAACGATCGTTCCTTATAGACTCCTACGGGACACACGAGGAGCCCTGTCAGTGCTAGACGATGTGCACCAGTGGCTCTGGCGACCCCCATAAACACCAAAGTATAGCGAGCAAGTTTTGGGCAAGCACCATTTTCCCAGCTGATTATGAAAACTCAGGGATGTGGGTTCACTGCACAGCTCTCTGCTGCCACCTGCTGCCCACAGTTGGAAGTGGCAGCTTCCTAATATTTTGTCAACATTTAAGCCAACGTTGGTACAATGCAAACTAATTTTTTATGGAAAATATTCTATAATTTTTGCTTCCTTTTACTTACAGGAAGACTATTTTAAAGACTATTTGTAATACGTATGTCAATTATTAAACACACCCCGTTAAAGGTTGTTAATAATGCCCATATTTACAAAAAGACAAAGGAAACCTTAAAAACAAGAAGCTACAGAATTTTGAATAAAGGTGCTTTCACATAAAAAAAGGCAGTAAACTTTATTTCATTTTTGTTTTCACCATAGTTTTAAAGGGTAATAAGTTTTTTAATACTTGTTTTCTAACTACAGGGTTTTAAGTAAACAATGTGGTTTTAAGTAAGTAACTTAAAAATTTATGGAACTCATTATCTGACACTATATGATTAGAAAAAAAGGTAATTTTATTTTAATTTCTAAAAATTAGTATTTTCCAGATCATATGTCATTAGTCTGATGATACTGATGAATAGAATATTTAAGTTAGGAAAGAAGAAAATACAACTTACATAGTATTAAAAAAATGATCATTTTCTTAAATTTTTAAATGATCATTTTCTTTAAATTTTTTCTTAAATTTTAAACAAAAAAATTTTTTCTTAACTTTTATACAAAAAAATAAAAATATTTTTTATTTTTTTGTTTAAAATTTAAGAAAAAATTTAATTCTTTAAAAAATGTTTAAATAGTTTCCTTTCTCTTTTTTTTCCACAAAAGACTGGGTTTGCAAAAATAAAAATTAATATTGACAGTGAAATAAATTTTATATGACAGTCTCATTAATTGGCATCTCACTACTTCAAAATGTATATAACTTTTTAATGCAGTAAATATAATCAAGTGAATAGAAAAATTTTAAATGTCTTTGTCAGTTTTCAGATCTTGCAAGGAGGTGAAATCTAATACAAGTTCAACATCATTTTCATAATTAGTGCTCAATAAATTAAGCACTTTCATTATATCCTCAACTTACATATTCAGAACTTAAAATTTGTGTGAGAAGGATCCTTAAAGGTAATCAATATAAGCTTAGATACTCTAAGGTTAATTCCTTCTTTTGCTGTTTAACAAATAATATAAATGGTACTTAAAATAATACAACTATATTTTAAAATAATGTTCTCTAGCATTTTGACTTTTTTTTTTTTGAGACAGAGTCTTGCTCTGTTGCCCAGGCTAGAGTGAGTGCCGTGGCGTCAGCCTAGCTCACAGCAACCTCAATCTCCTGGCCTCAGGTGATCCTCCGGCCTCAGCCTCCCGAGTAGCTGGGACTACAGGCATGCGCCACCATGCCCGGCTCATTTTTTCTCTATATTTTTTTAGTTGGCCAATTAATTTCTTTCTATTTGTAGTAGAGATGGGCTTTCGCTCTTGCTCAGGCTGGTCTCGAACTCCTGACCTCAAGCGATCCTCCCGCCTCGGCCTCCCAGAGTGCTAGGATTACAGGCGTGAGCCACCCACCATGCCCAGCCGCATTTCGACTTTTTTTCCAGTTGACTTTCTCTCGTGCGGGATTCCCAATTAAGGAAGTATAACTCTACTTTCAAATTGTACTTGTAAAGCAAATACCTGTGAAAGTATAATCTAAGTGTGCGATCTGTTTGACAGTCAGCACCCTGGGCTCATTAAACTCCTTGTTCCTGAGAAGGACGGAAGCAACAGTTCGGATGTTATTGTTGGATCCCATTACTATTAATAAGTGCAGAAGCAGGCGTTTGCAATGTTCATACACCTCAGGGTGGCAGTGGTCAAACCCTAAAACGGACAGCAGAAAACATCATTAATAAAGAGAACTAATGAGTATCCTTTCTACCAAACTCATATTTTAAAGAAAAGCAGAGATTATATCTTAATGAAAGATTTCGTGGAAGATGATGCATTATAAAGTTTTTTTTATCGGCCTAGAGCTCTTACACACTTTACAAGTAGCCTATTGTCCTACAGTACTAGGGAGAATCAACGTAAGTTTTAAATGTTCCATGCCTAAAATTTAGTGATCTCTTACAAATACATTAACAACAGATGGAAATGAAAATTTTTTTTTAAAGGCAGCCATTCTTTGTGCTTAGCATGTCATAGAAAGTCAGCCAATGTTTGCTTAACTGAAGGAACAATGTAATACACATGTAAATGAGGGTGCACATCAGGGAAACTGATAAGAAGATGGCTTAGAAGAAGGTGGCTGTCCTGACTTGCTCCAGGAAGTTAATCCCATAAGCATCGCAGGTATTCTAGATGTGCAGATCCAAAGTGTTTGTTATGGGCGACACAATGGAGTTTCAGGAGCCATCATCGACGTCTAAAACTCAAATTCCTTGCTTAAGCACTTTCCAGTGGGGGGGAAAAATTTAAAAAGAAAAAAAATATTTAAAAAAATAATAATAAATAAAAAAATTAAAAATCAAATTCTTTTAGAAAACATTGAGAACTTATTTCCATTTCTCACCCTCTGTGTGAAAGTCTCCAGTCCCAGAGGTACATTATTAGTTTTACTCTTGCTAGCGATACAGAATTAAGAGTGTACAGGTGTACGTGTGTGTGGAGTGGGAGGGGCCATAGAATCGGAACCGGAAGTCGGAACCGGAAGCCAGAAACCGGAACCGGAAACGAGGGCGGCAGCCATGTTTGTGGTCAGGAGACATCCAAGGAGTAACTCCCCACCAGGCCAGCAGAATCGTAGTGAAAAGCATCACGGAAGTAACACACAGATAACAGAGACATGTAGAAACCGTTCTTTAAAACCATACTGCCATACAAATATGAAGCGAAGGAATTACAACCAGATATGTATTACCTATAAAAATTGCATGAAGAAGAAGATGGAGGTAGCTTCCCCATTCCACCTTCACGCTGTGATCGATGATTAGGTCGGTCAAGAGGATCACTGCTATGTTACACCTAGGACCAACGACAGTATTGTAAATGCTTTACTGGATCTGAGGAAACCTAGAGAAAAGTCTATACCAAATTCCTTGAAGACTGCAATATTGTATTTCACAGAAAAATACAACATATCAAGGCAAAAAGAAGAAAGACAAATATAGCCGAAGAACCCATCGACCACTAAGTTAAAGTGATAGAATAAACAGCAGGGTAAGGGCTCCTTGAAGTCTAGAGCCATATTTTTTTTCATCTTTCAACCTTGAGACCTAACAGACTGCTTGCCACATAGGTGTTCAGTATTTGTTCAGTGCGTTAACAAACTTTAAAAGAATGCAGTAATTGTTCTCTTGCGGTTTTGCTAAGTAGAATTCAGTTTAACACAACTGGAAATAATAGTGCCTATTCCAAGAAAGCCATATTTTTTCAGAGGTAGTAACTGGGTCCCAGAAAGGTCAAGTAACTAGGCCAGACACCCAGAAAAAAGCAGCAGCAGAATTAGATTTAATAATACTCATTTTATACAGTTCGAATTCTGAGCTTTTCAGATTTCTTCACATCTAAACGCATGACTCTCATGGGCTGTGGTAACTCAATCAAGAAGATTGCTCTCGTTCTGTGTTGTTAGCCGGCATAAAGAAAGCTGAGAGTTCAGCAGCAACTCGAGTCGCAGAGATAGGAATGACGCTATAGTCCACCTGTGAAGAGGTAATCCAGGTGATGACGTTTCAGGCACGTAATCCACCAGTGGTGACCAGCAGCCTCCAGCTGGTGGCATGGGCAGTGGTTCTCCTTGGTTATGCTCCATCACTTTCAGTCGCCAATTAGAATAAAGTGGCATTGAATCACCTATCAAGATAAAATGATCTCATTTTCTACACCATCTAATTTCTGCCAGTATAAGCAAACTCTAGTAAGACACCAACTATTTTATAGCATTGGATTAAAAAAATTATTTCCCACTACTTTGACATATGTTTTGCTAGGAAGACCTGTGTATAGATTATTATCAAATTAAGCAAATCTGAGAGAGAGAGAGAGAGAGAGAGAGAGAGAGAGAGAGAGAGA